GATCCAGGTCAAATCACACATCAGGGTCAGCCTCCCCTTTCGATCATCGCACAGAAGTGTCAAAAACGAGCTTCGTTCCAACCCGTCGGGGATAAGTATCGTCATTCGCGCCGCAGGATCAATTTGCGTTCTTCGTGGGAGGATCGAGTTCAGCGGCCTGTATATATTGAACGCTCACCCACGTACTAGCACGTCCCGCCTGCAAAGATTCCCGACTTTTTAATCGCCCATATTGCTGGAAATAAACCTCGGTGCATGGGGCCGAACCAGCTCGATGAAGGGGGGAACAATTAATAGCTAATGGTGGTGGCTGCTGGCAATCCGGTTTCCAGCTATATATCGATCCCGTTACGGAGGAAATGCTGTCTGCGTGAAAAAAGGGGAAAGCAGAACCGCGACAAGTCTCTTCATTACTTCATGTGAGCCCCATCCTCCGATCCGTTGTTAATAATCATGAGAGTACGTGTGGCAGAGGTGTGGCATCGATGGCCATGTTAGACTGCAGACAGTGGGCCGCGCACCAGCAGCAGAAAAACGCAGATCCTGAAAATGTCGGGCACCACCCGAACTGGGCCCAACGATTAATGTAATACAGAGGATGGGCTGGACCAGTGCACATGGGGATCACGTTTGAGCATTTAGGCATTAGAAACAAAACCACTACTCCCGGAGTAGCGCCGCTGGCTCGACTTCCACGTCGCAGGACTATACATAATACAAGGTACGTAACCAAGGAGAGCAGCAACCTGAATTTAGCTATGATGATGTAGCGAGTGCAATATATATTGTACATAATAAATGCACGTCTACCAGGGTAGAACCCAACATGGGGAAACATGAAAGAATGTGCGGTACAGGTAGACATCGCAACGAACACCAGTCCCTGCGGAGAGCCTCATAAAAACTGAGGGCAAAGAAGAAAATGAAAATGATAAGGGGTTTCGTATAGAGAAAAAAGGAAGAACAATTGTTAGGTACCTCACCGACTTGGCATAAAACATAGAACAGTCGGTGTGTTGTGTCACCAGGTCAAACGGAACCCAGCATGAATCCGGGTGAGAGAAGGGAATTGTACTTACGGTCAATGAGCTTCTGGCACACCATCCCGGGGGGGCTGGGTCGTGAAATCGGCTAAGGCAAGGCAAAGTTCCCGCCAGCAGCGTGCGCAACTCAACGTTGATGGCGAAGAAATACACTAGTGGACCTGATCGGCTTACCATTAAATTTCCTCCTTGCCCGATGAGGGCGACATAAGATATTCCTGGACATGTAAGGATGTCAGCATGAGTCTCAATGTGAGAGGGGAAGTGATACTTACGGCCAAACCTGTTGGGTGGACACCGTGCGAGCCAACTGGCCCGCAAAGTTCCACCCTAACGGAAAGGGGCATGGACAACAGGCACAGACGCCTGTGGGAACATGTCCATACCGACGCCATGAGAGCGTCCCGCTGAAGGTTCCCTCTCCCGAAATAAATGCGACGCACCGCGATGACACCTAAACAGAACGTTGCACGAACGGAGTCAGCAAACATTGCCTACTAGCTAAGAGAAAATCGTGATTCGTACTATTCAGAGAACAGGAGTGACATGATCGCTGCTTTTCTTGGAGGGATGGCCCGGAAATAGAATACAAGGCTGATCGATGAGCACACAAGGAGGGAAAGGCTGAGAGCTTCAAGCGAAACGGGCTGTGGTAAGAGCATACGACGAGACCCGATGACGAAACAAGTTGGAGCGAAAAGTCAGGCGGCTCGTTCTTTCTCGCCGTGCGTCCATTGGATAGAAAAGGGTGCGATGGGTTCCCATACTCGATTCGCCTCGGCTTTGTTGTCCACCGATGGAACCTACAAAGCGCGTCAAATGCGTAAGGTGTACAACGAGTCATCGGAGTCCATAGGCGGCTCCAGCCCAAACAGCCATAGAGGGAAAGACCCGATAGACAATAAAACTGATCCACAAGCGGTTTCGCCAGACACGGCCAGGTCGCATGAAGATGAGAGCTGTAATCATAGTCCGATTGAAAAGGCGAAGAGCACGTCTCTTTGTAGATATGGGGTGCTGCGAACAATCAGCTGCCTAGATATAGCCCACAGCTTCAGGATCGATTAGCGAACGGGTGCAGGAGCAGACTTCGAGGATGGCGGCTAATATCTGACAGCCCAAATGGTAAGATGTAGTGGCGGAAGGCCGATGGGATAACGTGCATAAGGAAGCCGAGACCGTGAAGGGTTTATAGTGACCGTACCAGTGATCCGAAGATAGTGATGGCAGGTGGCGACTGGATTTCCCGGGCAGGGAAAAAGGGACTGGTAGACATGTCAGAACGTTCGAGCGAAGCCGGGTCGTTCTCTGCGGTTGCGCATCCATCTGATAGAAGGGGCTTTCATGCGTCTCCGTACTCGATTTACTTCAGGTTGTTTCTCGCTTCCTAGTTGATGGTCACATTACAACAAGTCTTCGAAGCCCCGGACGAGAACATATCGGCACCATCCCAAGCAGTCGTGGAGGAAGGTAATGGTTGATCCGGCGATATGATGGAACGAAGCTGGTCGATCAGTACTCTTGACGAAGCGAGGGAAGGTCACACAAAATGGGGGCTATAGTCACAAGCCGGTTGAAAGGCCAAGGTGCCATCTCTAAGTGCAGTGAGCGAAGATCGGCAGCCTATAGATCATCGGAAGCATCAGAGTTGCTGTGTAATAGGCAGGAAGGGACTCCAAGGATGGCGGATGGTTCGGATGGCAACATGAGTAACGCGCTAAGGGTGTCGGGTGCGGTGGAAAGCGGGGTCCGGGACGGCACGAACAACGAGCAACTGGGGTCCCGAGAGCGAGGGGGAGAGAAGAAGGAACTGGTAAGGAGAACTAATGCTCAGACCAGGCTTTTATGCCTTTCAGATCTATTCAATCCTCTCCTTGTGATGACCACGCTCCAGACTGCTGCAAGAATGAATAAAACCTTCCGAATTAAGCCATTTTCTTCGTCGAAATTCCAACCAGCGATATCAACACGATCCCAGGATACGAGTTGATATTTCACAAAGTCCGGAATTCCTCGTCAGCGAGTGCACCGTTTAGCTTCGTTCAACCGCGAAACTGCTCTCAAAACCCCCCGCTACAATATCCGTGGGCAGGAGATGGGGGACGATACAAGACGACGCCAGGAGGGGGAGAGAAGGCCCGTTGGGAAGCCATATTCACTCTTTCGTTAGGAAGATGGCTAGGAAAGATCCGGTCATCAGGGCGATGCATCAGCATATTAGCCGGATTGGTTATTCGTGGATTATTGTCCTAATTGAGTCTATATAGAAGGACTTGCGCACCCTGACAAAGTCATCCCTAAAACCACCGCTGAACTGGGGCATAGAGTTTGCCGCACGTCTGAATAAATTAGGATCTTTGCTGGAGAGTGTAGTTGTGTATCATAGTGTAGCGGTGCACGGTGTCGCCGACGCAACTTTGTGGCAAAGAAAGCTCCAGCAATGCTTCCACAAATGCGACGTGGACCCTTCAGCCAATTAGGAGTGCTGCTGTTGGGCAATATTCCGTGAATAAGATCAAGTGTCCAGATCTTCCTGGCCGAATCACTCAGTTCCGATTTCGAGAGGGATTTCTCTTGAGACACAGTTCACGAACCACCCCACTCCATTGACAGCGAGCACGGAAAATGCTCATACGGAGTCCAACGATTGAAAGAGGACAGGTGGGATGAGGTCGCGATCTGCTGTTCGATGTAAAAATTCGTCTCATCAGGAATGCCCAAAAAAAGGAGATATGTAACAAAAATTACTTAAGTGTCTAGCTGGTATTGTGATAAATGAGGAAGGTTCGTTCCCACCGGCGGCCCTGCGCCGTATCGATGGAATTTAGACCCACTCTTCGGGTCCGCCACGTGTTTGGATGCCCAAGGCAAGCACAAACACAAGGTGCAGCTACAGACATCACAACCACAGATAAACACATGAATGACAAGCCGCAACTAAACAATTGCGGAAGTTTGCATCCAGTTCGGTGAATGCAAAGTCTTGTGCCGGGCGCCTAAGCCAAAACGCAACTCTCCGTGTGGCGAGAGGTTCCTGTGGCCCATACACAATAGCCCCACGTCTGAGGAAGTCGCTCCCTTGGCGTTCCCTTGGTACGCTTACATTTGAGCGTTCACAAACAGCTCATTTCACTACAAAATGAGTAATGGAATGCCAACGTGAGTTCCGTCATTGGCCCTTCCACCAGGTCTCCTAATTAAAGTTGATGGTGTTAGGTCCATTCACTGTTCCCGTCCATGTGTCTTCACGCGTTAAACAGTGCTGATGTCAAGCGTATGTCTGTCTGCGATATTGGTGTCGTTATGTAGTCGAAGCCAACGCTCTTGACCCATTTCTGCCTGAAAGACCAGACATCGCATGTCTGATCCTGGAAAAAGGCGAGGGCTGCACGGCGCGCAGTGTGCGATGTGAATACCACTGATGCTCCCAGGAGTGGTGCGCGCTGCATTTCTAGACATCCCAATTTCCATAATTACAAAATGAGGTCCTTGAAGGCTATACACCCATAGTTCGCTGGAATGGAGAGACGGATCAAGTTCCTCCGCTCTCCCATTCCCGTGAATGATGGAGGCATTGCTCTTCAAGCCACATATTGAATTTATGAGCGTCAAACATACTGTTGCCTGTCTCAAGAGTAGACAGGCCCGCAGAGCCCCATCCCATAATAAATGAGTTGTTGTGATGCTTGAGTGATCGACAAGCGGTCCAAAGTCCCGCAGGATGACTCTTATCTTGCTCCGACTGAAGGTTAAAAGGTTATAAAAATCTTGCGCCGACCGCACATTATGTGAAGGGATCTGTTCATTCTGAGGCATGAGAGATTCCTCTGTTCACCATCTCGAGTCTGAGAAAATCTCGATGGCCTTCCGACCACGGGCTGAAATATGGATGGAACCGCCTTCACCTGGCAACTATTCTCTCAAGGAGAGAAGCTCGCCTATTTTTCGTTCACCCGCAAGGGCGGACACAACGAAAGACGTGTGTTGCCACTTCAAGAGAGAGGGAGACCTGGTGAAGAAATAAATATGGCGACTCAATACTGGAAATGGAAGTTCCTTCCTGCTCGCTTGCTTCCGTTTGCCTCATTCGAGCGTTTGACTACAGCTGGCCTGCTAACTACCGTCGCATGGACAACTGTAGCCGTTATTTCGACCCGTCACCCCGGGGGAGACTGCGGAGGTGTGTCTCCAATCCCGCTGGAACTTCTCCTTCGAATCTGGATATCTTACTCCTGTGCATGTGAACTCGATGGTTTCGGCACATTATCTCGGCTCCACTATTCCCCCCTTATCCAGGCGCTTCTACCCACCCCGGCCGGTGGAAAACGAAAATGGCCCGACACGCCTGAACTCCCGTGGCTTCCTCGCATAATAGCAGCCCTATCTGTTCCCTAACCGAACCACCAGTGCTGTTCTATGCGAGCCAGTGCACTCCTTTTCACTCGACGTCGTTTTTATCGTGTGCGTGCTTGGGCATATGCAGTTCAGGTGAACACATCTGGGCATTTCAGATTTTGTTGATTTGTGAGCTTCAACCCACCAGAGCGCCCAGCGGCTATCATACGTATGCTGAAAGTGCCCCCAATCTAATGGAACCTGTCCCGAAACTCGCACGCGCTTGAGGGACCTCGTATCCGTCATTTGTGCTTTCTGCTCACGCCAGATTTCACTTCGTTCGGAAGGATTGCTTCGATTCCTGACTCCGCGCACCCTCAAATATACCGCTGCATATCATTCTGCGAGCAACCAAACCATAGTTTCCACGAAGCTTCAGATAGGCTGCCGAGATGAATCACACCTTCACTGCAGCTTGACCGAATATTATGTCCAATGACAATGACTAAATGCTGCGCTTCCATGAATCTCAAGTTCTCCGGTGCTGGTACATACGCACATCGTGCCTTCAACGGCCCACTCCATCAGTTAATAGTCGATCTTATGGGGCTAACGGACATCCCGGTACCGGCGTGTAGTGATGCGGATCATATTCATGGACGCGCTGACGTGTATCATCCATGAGGGGTCGACGTTCTTTTCCACCGATTCCCCCAATTCCAAGGATTGAGGGACATTAGTCGATATATTCATCGCCTCCTCGCTCTTGGGTCGGTACCTCGAAGGTTATAAACACCATCCTCTCGTTCTACCTATAATTGGCCCGAATTGCTGCGACAACCAAGTTGCCTCATGTACACGATATTTCTCTGCATCTCTGTGGTCTAGCCGACAAGCGCAAATCTTCCTCTAGCTCAGGCAAGATTGCGCGGTCTGCTATCACCTCCTGAAGTCCCTTGATCCCGTCGCTAGGCAGCACTAGAGTGGGGTAGAATAGCCTCCATCTTTAATCAAGAGAACAACTTTTCTCATCGATGACGGTCAAAATACACTCACGCTATTGTCCCATGTGCACTTTGATTTACACATATCGAGGACCGCATTTGTATGACTATGCAATTTTGTTCTCCAATTAGGTGAATCATTCTCTTGTCCTCTGCATGTGCATCTTTCCTCGCCGTCGATATTTAGAGTACTTAGCAGATTTATTTGGTGCTGGGTTTCCGCCCCTGTACAGTGGGGTCGTCCGAACGTGGGAGTGTAGTCCCAGACATAGTGAAGGCCACATCATACATCAAGCTAAGGGAGAATGCGAAAATAAGACCAGCCCCTTCCTTCGTCACACGGATGTGTTGAAAACAAATTCGGTTCTGCTCCCGCCAGGGTACCGTCATTAGTACAAGATCAGTCCCGTACAATCTCCAGGCTAGGGCCGCTGTGCCTTTGGGGGCGACTCCTTCACACCTCGATCTATACCCTTGATCGTTATCCGGAGCTCACAGGCACACCCGTCATCAGGAGAAGCCCAACTTGACGACGGAAACTCGCGGAGGGATGTGCAACATTTCCTCTTGTTCTCCATGCAAAAACTTTGGAGCTGCCTCTTCAGTAATGGGATAACAACCTCTATGATGCTTGAATGACTATTGCGGGCGCTGCAATTTGACCATAAAACAGTTCTGAGTCTTACTCGGTTAGACTCAAAACACGAAGCTGCTCTCTCCTAGCCTCGTTCCAGTCATGAGTTCAGGTCCTCTTCGTACGATCTCATCGTTGAACTCGTCTCTTGTTTCCATACACTCGCTCAACAGACTCGAAATCGACATTATCCCAATCATTGAACTCGCAACTTGGGGTCCCGACTTATGCCATAGCTCAACGCGTCGCTCCGCGACTGACTATCTCCTGGGTCAAATGTGCTCATAAGTGGTAGATCTTACAATTGGCTCCGGTATCTAAACAGATTAAAGCCTCTTGGCTCGGCCAACAATTTAAATTCTAATAAATTCCTATTGCTGCGCACCAGGTTCTGCCATCACGTCATACTGATGTGCACTGAAAAAACAAAAGTGTCAGGCAGCAAATTAGGCCAGAGAATAAATAGAAGGGATCCTAAAGTGCAGAAGGACGGCGACCCAAGTCAACACGGAGCTGTAATGATTCCAGAAGTACGTAAGGAAGTGGGAGCAAGCGACAATTAAAAGGCATTCCTAGGCAGACTGTGCACATGATACCGGCAAGAAACAGGAGCTATGGATGAAAGGTAAGATCGACCAACTAAGGAAGGACTGGAGCTGTACGCGGTTCACGAAGTCTGATGACGAATTGTCTATCCCTTGCCTCTGTACCCAATAATAGAAGCTAGTAATCTGCCTGCCTTTGTACATCGCCAATGATTGTTCGCGTCATGGGCAACCTTGGCTTGGCAACTGTGTAGGGAAAACAAGCTCTTGGCAGATCGAGTTGTTACAGCAACAGTCACCAGTCACTTCCACACTGGTTATGCTGGCATCGCCGGGGTGCCTTCCTTCAGAACCCGAGCAAAGGAAGATACCTTTCGCGAAACATTTCTTAGAAGCGGCGGAAAGGAGACGTGTCCTGAGAAGTGATCACCAACCAACTGGGCGGAGATCTGAACCGCCCTGAAGCCTGATCAAGCTTGATGCGGCGTGAACAGTGACTCTAGCTGTAGCACACAGCCACATGATGCGCCCACGCAACTTGTCTTCCTTGGCTGAGCTTTTAGGTATATGATTCAATTGCGCGCCTTTCGCAACGCTGCGTTCGAGGCTACAAGAATGTTAGAGAAATCTGCGCGTCCAAAGGAACGCAGCTCATTGACTAGTTAGGAAAGAGTGAGCACTCGCCATTGATTTTTTGCTAATTTTGGCTAACTATATGACCATCTGGGTCATTCACCCAGATCGGACGCGCAGATTTGTTTGTCACTCGCTATAAAGTCAGTGCCCGAGTCAGCTCCCATGGTGACTGTTTGCCTCCTCACTCAACAACAGTCGTGCTTGTGCTCGAGCCGGTGGTCATTTTGATGTATATAAAATGGGAAGGGGGAGCCAAGGCTCTAAGTTCTCAGCAAACGCGTCTCAGCCTTGTCCTTACCAGAACCACCGACCCTGTTGATTTTGGTCACTATTTATATGCTTTTTTCCATTGCCCCGGCTCTCATTCTCTCCGCTCTGGCTTTCCCTACTCTACGGAGGCGGCCTGGCGTCCCAGCCCACATGAATGAGGAAGAGGCTAAGGCAGCGTACAACTCTAGCTCCCTCCATATCCGTCAGCAGAGTTTGTGCCAGAGCATCACTCTGGATCAGCTGAACGCGATGGGCGATGCCCTTCAGGACGCCAAGGCAAGTGTTTGTAAACACGAACTTGTACCTTGACGATTCATATTGCATCATTGACGCAGAACTATGCGACGGCCAACTGGGGTGGTGATTGGGACACTATAGCAGTGAATCCCCCTGAAGTTTGTGTATTCATCCGTACCGCTGGAACCGCTTGTTAACCCGAAACGGTGCCCTGGTAATCCCGCGCAAGCATGTTACCCGGATCCGATGACGTTTACCGCGAACTGGAGCTCAGATCCTACGTGCTCGCGCTCAAGCACCAAGTTCACTGGATACATTGTGAGTCTTTCCACTTCCGGCTTTATCACAGAAATTCATAAATTTCCTAGGCTACAGGTAGCAATTCTGCACAAGTAAATATTAATCAAGGGTGCCTCGACCACAGTTGAGAGTGAGTCGAAATGTGCCAGCGTCCATTAATGTCGCCATTTTATCCCTATCCTAGCTTCAACTCAGCTCGGTAGCTCGACCCAGTTCACTGCTGGGGTTACGATCGGAATTCCAGAAACCGCAGATTTCTCTTTCTCAGTTTCCGGTAGGCGGCTTTATACATTCACAATGTACCCCGCGAAAATTATTCTCAATTCACCAGAAACTGTTTCTGTCGATCTCACCAACACCAAGGGTTCCACTACTCAGACCACGAATGATGCTCGAACCACAGTTCAAGACACTGTCACTTGCGATGGCCCAGCCAATGTTGAAGTGGATGTCGATATGCAAACCTGCACGGCTCAAGGCAATGTCGACTTCCCCGTCACGCTGGGTGGCTGGGTGTGGTTCTACTACGGATCTAGAAGGAGCGGTCATTACAAGTGTTCGTACCTGCTTCGACCACCCGCAATGACTTACTGATGCCCTGCCCACCCGGCGAGGGGCTGTCAATCTGGATGACAGCCCTATCCAACATCGCCAGCAGTATCGATCTCTGTTAACGCGAATACGCAATCGTTCGGCAACTTCTATGGTAAAATTTCCTCTTCTCGATGAGATGATCCAGCACTTACCTGGCTGCATATCCGAAGGCAATTGCTCCCCCGCTTGAACTCTATATGTTGGCAATACTTGTCGATGATATTATTTAATGATAATAGTATTTGTCCTTCCTTTTAATTCTTGACTTGTGTCACGATGTAATTGGACTTTTGACTGTATGTACTTAGCTCTGTTGCATGCAACGCATTTCAGACGCTTCTGACCGAGGGAAAAGACGATTTGGAGCATTCTCCCGCACGCGCGCAATTAACAGTGGCTCACGCAATCCTAAGGTGATCAGTGCCCGTGGCGCCAAGTCCCCTACAGATACAAATCTGGCTTCCAGTTCGCTTGGTTCCTCTTGCCAACTTGCCACACGAAGAATACATATGTTGAATGCCGAACTTCCGAATATGTCTTTCTCACACATTAATTTTGACACTACCATGTTCCAGTCTCATAAAGATTCTGACTAGACCAATCCAGATTCGGACCACGCACTAAAGGGCTTTTCTGACCATAAAACGAGTCGAAGATCGTCTAGATTTCTCATTCTCGCATCACCTGGCTTTACTCCTGCCTTGCATCCCAACAAAATCTTACAATCAGTGTTGACAGGATGTTCCAGACCAGCTCTACTTATCCTTCCGGAATGCGCTATGCGGTCCATAGTGAGGCAGACTGTGTTGACAACGTATGTTGGCCTCAAATCTCTTTCTGATTGACTGACTAATGCGACTGCTCAGCATCTTCAGTCGTCTGGCGGTTATCGTCCCATCTACACTGCAGGGAAGAATTATCCTTACTTTGATCTATACCCATCAGCAGCGGTGCATCACAGCAGTGCGCATGACGACATACGCCCCATCTATGCCAAGGGAATGGGTTATCCTCATTTTGACCTCTACCCCGCTCGTGACCTTCATGGTTACCCACCTCTTCGTTTTGTTTCCACGAAAGCGGCTCAGCAAATCCCGAAAGAGAGATTCGTCGCGTTCCGCAGGGGACTCAGTAGGAAGAGGAGTACGGTCCAGCGTTGCATCTCGAAATTCGCGGATTCCATCCTGAAGACACTTAAGCCGGTTTCGCGCAACGTCGTCTAGATTCTAATCGTACAATGCAGCTTGCTTCTCTAATATCTTGACCCACCCCTTCGAAATCATATGAGACTGGGGCTTGGATCTTGGGCTTTGGTTCGAACGTTCAAAAATGGTCTGATTTACTGTACTGGCACGACCAACAACCGGTCACGCATCATCCAGTTTGGAGCGTGACGCCGGACATCCAACCGGCAAGCTTGAGTGATGCGTGACAGTCAACAGGCCGAGGCCAGAACTGCCCCTCGGACAACGGGTTTTCTGTCTTATATCCGAGAGAATTTGATAATATTTGAATTTTGAAATGGAAATTCTCATGTCAAATTTTCTGCCCGGTATTATGGATGGATTTGTGCTTGCCAGCCGTATTGCGGCTTGTGCTGAGGAAACTATCACATACAACAACACCCCCAAATTTCTCATTGGTTGCTACAGGCTGTTCTCGCAAGCATCCTACTGGTGACAGTGGGATTCATCCTAACTCTACTACGGTAGTACATGAAGGACAATTCTCAGAAGCCATAGAGGATGATGTGGAGGTGATGTTGGAGGAGGTTTATGAACATCTCGACACCGGAACCCTGCCTGATGGCCTTGCCGACGTGAATGGTGGCCTTCAGTTGAGTTGGAATGCTGCTGAAGAGGACAATGCAGAATCCATTGGAGAATTCACTGTGGCAGTTGGGTCTGAAGTTGGTAGTGGTGAGTTGGGATGGGGTAAGCAGCTTAAACAGGTGAGAAATCTGGAGACAGACACGCTTTTAACAATGTAGTTGGAACATTTGAATTGAAAGCTTGCACAGCCACTATATTCTACTCAAAGTGCGTGACACCAGACATTGGGCCGGCAGGCCTGTGTGATGTGTGATAAATTCCAAAAAAACGCTGACTGGCAGGGTCAGCGTGATGCATGACCGGTTGTTGGTCATGCCAGTACAGTAGTCTCCCCTGGTTGTCTGCTGTTTCTCCCTGTCCACCATCACATACTTTTCCTTTAATACCTTCTCTCATGACCTCTACGGCCTGATTCGGAACTACAGGAATCTCTGAGCAACAATGCCGCTGTCTCTTTAATATTGTTATTATATTAATGGCATTGATTGGTAGCAAGCTTGTCTAATCTGCATCACATCATTAAATGAATAGTCGGAGGCCCTTTGACAGGCTATATGCTCAACACTGTCAGGGATGCATCTGGGGTAGAGGGGGTCCAGATGTATCGCCTGGCAGAAGGGCCCTCACGGGGTGCGAACCGGGCATGCATACTGGCAGGTCCGGGAAGGGACAGCAGTCCCTGGCCACTTAGACTGAAGTGGAGAATGTGTTATTGTTATTAAAAGGGAAAACTATACTACTTACCTGAAGTGGAGAATGTGAGAAGAAGGTTACTTCTTTGGCCCCCACTTCAGGTACATTTATGTACATGCAGCTTGAGTCACATGATGAGTGCCACGTCACCCTCAGAGACAGCTGCAAGCATCTGGGTATCCCCATGGGGGATCCCGAGAGCGTCCACTGCATGCGCACGTGCTGGGCACAGTGGGAAGCTGTCCGGGGTGTGTGGGCTGGATGGGTCAATAGTACATTGATACAAAGGAAGGTGGTCCGTGTAGATAGAAGGAAATAAACAAGAAAAGGAAGATGGGAGGAATGAGATAAAGAAAGGGGAAGAAAGAGAGAAAGGAAAAGGGGAGGAGAGGGAGGAGGGAGAGGGTTGGACAGCAGGGAGCGGGTGTGGTGTGGCCGGGTGGGTCCAGGTGGACCTGGGTCAGGCAGGTGTGCCCTGACAAACACGTGGATTTCGCTCTAATATGACAACCTTATAATTGTTTTATCTCAGCTTATCGGGGGTAGTCTTTGCAGGCAGTGGCGGCGGGATGTACTACACTTGGCTTGGTCTCTAACACTACATGCAGGCGATTATCTTCGCTAAACATATAGATTTAATGCCCTCCAATCCTTGGAATTGGGGAAATCAGTGGAAAAGAATGTCGACCCCTCATTGATGATACACATCAGCATGTCCATGAATATGATCTGCATCACCATCGATGTGTATACATATATATAAGTACCAGAGAGTCATGGAGGTGCAGCATTTATTCATTGTATGAAGGAATTATATACTGCAATCAACATTGTATTCGGTCATGCTGCAGTGATTTGATTAGCCTCCAGCAGTTAAGAATGAGAGGCCATTTGAAGCTCCATGGAAACTATGGTTTGGTTGCTCACAGGGTGATATGCACCTGTATATTTGAGGGTGCATGGAGTTGATTCAAATGCGAGCGAGTCTTGGATGGAGTTAATGAATTGACAAGTTGTCTGTATGAGTGTTAATGTCAGGGGTTGACTCCCAGGTCTCCATGACCCTCCCCTATGGTCCACAGCATACTGGTGTAACCAGCCCTATCCAGGCACAACCTACTGTGGGTAAGAAGATCAATAAGATAAAGGCAAGTAATGTACACTTGCCTACTGTGGGTAAGAAGATGAGAAGGAAGCTAACTTCTCATCTTCCCACAGTGGCCACCATATCAGGAAAACTTCTGGGGATACCCGGAAGTCACATGAAGGGGTAGGAACTGGGTGCAGAGCATGTGGCATGTGGAGCATGCACGTGTGTGGGAAGCATGGTGGGTGGAAGCGGGTCTGGATGCAGGTCTGGGTCCAGGCTAGTCAGGGTGTGTGCCCTGACAGTTAAGTGTTGAAATTGTATCCGGTGCGACTACTGGACTTATCCGGAGCTCCAATTCAAATGGCTTCAAATCTAGGTCATGTGGCAAGGACATAAAATCATGGACAAGCCTGGTATCGAACCCAGGACCTCTAGCGTGCATCCATACACTACTCGCCCTTGAGCCATGCTGGTATAAGGCTGTTAAACTCTATACTATTGGGAACATATTATATTCTCCAACATTAAGAGTGTGAAAGCAGTTGCAAATGAAAGCACAGAATGGTGTGGATGGGTTCCATTAAAATTGGTGGCATATGTATGATAGCCGCTGGGTGCTCTGAAACTCAGCAAATCAGCAAAATCTGGAATACCCAGATGTGTCCACCCAAACTGCACATGTCCAAGCATGTGCACGGTGAAAACAACTTCAAATGAAAACCGGCTCACACAGAAGAGCACTGCACTAAATATTGACCTGTTTGACCACTCTTATCCCTGTGGGAATCCATTCAATAATGGGGTATGGATGTCTCCCAAAATGGGTGCTTAGTTATTTAAGGTCATGAATGTGTGCATCGCTCGATGCCCTCTACCTATACTATATTTAATTCAGTCTTACCCCTATTAGAATTGATTCTGAGTTTATGGAATGGGCTTCCAATTGCCGATTGTGAAGGCCCCAATTCCCATCTGTGAAACACCTGCCGATTGAGGCTGTTAGACCCGGCGCAACTGTCCATTAGTGTCAGGGAAATAGCCCTGAACCCCGAGTCACATGTAAATTAGATACACATAGTCACGTGGGCAAGTGGGAACCTCCAGGGAACCGCTTACACACCACTGTAAAATACACTATCTTGTATCACTTACGGCCTTGTGTGCTGAGCCACCCTAAGACCTCACACTTTTTTAAGTGCATGAGGTGTGTTTTACAACACAACCCACAACTACACAATCTTAACATCTGACTCGGAAGCGCCTATGGCGCCTAAACACGCCCGCAAGGGCAAGGTCGCATCTGCAGCGACACTAAAAAGAAATGAGCGGTTTATAAAGAAACCGCAATCTCCCATCAAGGGAGATTCAAACCAAAAGCCGTCGTCAGACGACGATGAGGATCAACATGATCCGGCAATAGCAACCACCTCAGGGCTGGTCCCTGAAGGCTTTAGAAACTTATGTGGAGTAAGTGCGGGGCGAAATACCCCCAGAACTCCACAACATACCGATCTAACCCAAGCTGGGGAAGATCCATCACCTCCTCACGAGGTGATCGACTTGCGCGAAAAACGTGTAAGCGCCGAACGATCAGCCCAAAAAGCTGATCGGATAGAGTCGCAGGAAACTCCAGGGCCCCACTATCCCCTGGAGTCCCCCCTCACGTCCCCAAGTCAAGCCCCAAAGGCAGACAAAGGGAAACAAAGGGAAGAGCCCCCACGACGGCTATCCGAAAAACTACTGGACTTGTTCCAGGTTCCGTCTGAATGGAGGATGGAAAGTGAAGATCAACTTCTTCTCAGGCTGAAAGCCCGAGAAGGTGCGAAAATACGCCCTGAGAGCAGGATCTCCCAGAGTGCGGAAGCTCCAAAAGAACTTCCGCTGTTTACACTCCCACACACCATGCCAGACAAGGCAAGGTCGCCAACTTCGGAGGAGGTCTCCGAGATAATGAAGAGGAGGCGAACTGAGATGAGGGAGTTCGCTGAGGAAGCCTTACGTAAAAGTAAGGAGAAACTAGCGAACAGACCCCTCTATGAAAGGGAAGCACCCTCCGCAACGGCCTCGCCTGAACAAAGCGAGCATGGAGTGTTCACTCCAAGAACCCATTCTGGAACCCCCAGAAGCGGAAATGTCAACTGGGGAGAGTCACTGCTCGCCCAACCAAACTTCCTCCTGGAAAACCAGGAATCGCGCATAATAAATGCGTTAAACTCGATCCAAAAAAAGATCGAGGAAACGAACCATAATAGCATGGCTCGTCTAGAGATAACTCTAGAAAGAATGGCCAACGCAATCGACACGTTGACTGAAAAAATCAGCGAACAAACAGATTTGCTGAAGGAAATAAACTTCTCACAAAAAAGTGAGGAAACAAATAGACACCCGTGGACCACGGTCCAGGACATAAATAGAACTCGTGAAAAATTCACAAAAAGAACCACCAGTGAAAGCACACTGGAATATCATCAGCGACTCGACAGAGACACTAAGGAGATCCTTCTCCCAAGGATAGGAGAAGATGATGCCGAAAGAAGGCATCGTTCAGAGATTAGAAGGAGAATTGGCACGTACCAAAGGTTTGGCCAAACATCCACTTATGATGGACCTCTCGAACAGAGAGGTAACTCATTCACACCCTCTCAAAACAATGAGAGAATACAAATACAACTTCAGGCAAATTCGCCTGAAACCAAAGAAACGCTGCGAGGAAGATTTCCCCCAGCAAAAACCCCCCCAAAGGAGAGATCTCCATTGGATAGTGACCCCGCGAAGGCAGGGGAGCAAGAAGAGTACCTGGAGAAATGGTACAAAAAGGCCATAAGAATGGCCGAAGTGAGAATACTCACTCCCTACCCAGAAGGAGTGAAGCCAGAAGCCCTAAAGAATGGGCCGGCATTTCCTGACAAAAAATGGTCAGGGGAGAACGACATGGAATCGTTCTGGCAGTGGTTCACAGAACTACTGGGATTCCTCGCCTCGCGAGGATGCAAAGGTCCCCAATTCGACGAAGTCCACCTGGACTGCTTGATTCGTGGATTAGGGGGACCCGCATTTGACCTCGGAATTAGACTCCGAGACGAAACTCTCCTCAGAGGAGATGAGGGCATGTTCCTCGAAGTTCTCAACATATTGATGAGAACCTTCATCAAAGCCTCCGCCGCGTTGAACGTGACAAAGTAATACCGCAACGTCAAATACAAAGCGGAAAAAGGCCTAAAACAGTTCTACTTAGAACTGTCAAAAGCAGCGTCCCAGATGGTGACGCCTCCAGACCAGGCGTCCTTCAACGCCAGGTTCCTAAACTACATTCCCCTCGAATGGAAAAGGGAAATGATTGCTCATGATAGAATCAGAGCAGACTTCTCCTCAAACGAGGAGATGTTAAAAGCAATATCTCGTGTAGACAAGATAATTGACAGGCTGAAGATG